TCTTATACGCCGGCAAATACGGTAAGTCTTTTCTGTCTACTCAACACTGTTTAAGAACTCTAGTTTACCCTACTGAGCTGGCACCACATTTCTACTTTACTTGAATACCATCTTCCCTTTCCAGAATTAACACCAACTTTAATATGACAAATCCTAGTATAGACCCCTGGAAAGCCTACATCTCCCACTTCCTTGTTTTCAATTTAACTTGTTTGGAGACTTGGCAACAATCTGAATGAATCCAAATCACAGAGTTTTAGAAAACATGTAGTTCAGCCTCTAACCAAACAGGAACCATATTTATAAGATCTCTGGGATGGTCATCTAGTTTATGTACCAATTATATTTTCTGTATTCTTGAGTCTCTAGCATCTGGGGCCTTACCAATATGGGAGGGACTGGCCCACCCAGAGTTAGTTAATTCCCCCCAGGCAGCACACAATGCGCTCCAGAAGCCTGCCTTTCATTTGCAAACCAGCCAATCCAGAGCCCTCACCTCCTTTATCAGGCTCTCCCACTCCAGGTCAATATTGCCCAGTCCTAATCACACCAGGACCACACAACTGAGGACAACTTCTACTCTCCCAAGTTTGCTGAAACTATTCAAACTAGCCCATCCTAAGTGTGCTTATCCTACCTAGCCCATGGAAACCACCATAAAGGCTCATGCCCATGCTTTCCCCTTGCCCCTCCTGGCTCCTGACAGACTCCACTGCTTACTTGTGTGTCCCTGTGTGGCATAGTATGCCCTCTCCTCTTGTGAATGGTATCAAACTATCTTTTTCAATGGCAGTTGTCTCCTGATCTGTTGGTCACTATACCTGCATAATAATAAAACCTACATTTTAAAACAACTGTTAGAACCATTCCAGAGACCAAAAGTTCATTGCTTTGCAAGGCAGCAATTTCATCAGTGAACTAATATCTGCTTCCTGAACTGAAATCTGCTTCCCTGTACCTTCCAATAATTCTGCCTTCAGGGCAACCAGAGAATAAAACTACCCATGTTTTTCAAGTGATGAACAATCCGATATCTGAAACACACCTATGATTGTTTTTCCAGAAATGCATTTGTGAGAATCACATACATGAATCTATAGATTTGGGGGGCTTTATTGCTATTATTTCTTAGAATGATTAGCATTTCACAAGTCATTTTGGCTTCAATAGCCCAGGGGATTGAATATTTTCTTCCAACATTCCAGTCCTTAAGGATTATCCATTCATTTATTCATGGATTAAGCAGCAGAACCTTAGCAGTGTGGTAGCCTTCGCTGGTTTATCAGTGTTCTTTCTAAAGCATAGAAACTACTAGAACTGGTCTCCTCCACGTGGCTTCACTAGCACTATTACTTTCCTGAGTCAAGGACCAGGTGTATCCTGGTGCCTGGCATGGCATCAACTAAAGTTTCTGAATCCTTTTAAATAAATTGCCACGAAACACATGTATCATGTAATTAAGTAATTGAACTGTGATTCTACTGCAAATTTTTAGATTTTTAGGTATGGATGTAAAATTCACCATTCCTAATATACAGGGCTTTCTCCAAAATCAGTCTTTCTTCTTGTTTTTTAAAGGTATTTTTTTATTCCCAAAACAATATGTTTATTGTATGAAATTTATTAAATATGAAAGAAAACTAATCTTATTCCCAAGGTAGATATATTTTTGTGTGTATCACTTCATACTTTTTCCTATACATAAGGCTCTATTTTCTATTTTTTTTTTAATGGGTTATATTATACATACAAAATGTTTAACAACTTTCATTTTTCAATATATCTTGGATATTGTAGAGCCATACTTATGAATAAATTACAAATGATAGAGTTTCTTCATGTCAGGAACTATCTTGTTTAAGTATTTATGAAACACAACACGTAGACAATTCAGTTGCTGAATGACTACATTGTAATGATTCCTACGTTAACTACAGATTACACATTTCAGTCAATGCTGGGATAATTTTTCCTTTAAATTTCTGTAGAACTCTTAGATGGATGGTGTGTGATTCATTTATATCAGTAATTATATCTAATATTATTGCTTATACCCACTATTTTAATAATTTGGTTCCAGTTATTTTAAAAGAACAAGTTGAAAGGGGGTCTCATATCCAGTAAATGGGAGAGCAATAGTTAACTGATTCTACTATTTTGTTTCCATGCACTCACATTAACAACCCAGTTAGCTCCCAACAGTATTTCCCTGCCAGGTTGCATAAATAATGCAAAGTGATGTAAGTGGTAGTTGATTATATTCCATTTATGAGTACTATGCTTGGCTATATCTGTGTACAGGGAAATTCCAGTTTTGACTACAGATTTTCTTCTCACAATCATGTCTAGTGTTTTTGCATTATCTAAAAGAAGTTTTGATTTAACATATTTTATCAAGATTTGTCAAAGATTTCACTCACATTTCTAGCTATGCTTTTGCTGTCCATATGTAGACTTATTTTAAGAAGTAAACATACAGTAATAAAAAAGATGTGAGCAACAATATCATGCATCTGTTTTTGTTAATGATTAAGAGAAACCTTAATTCAGGGCCAGCCGAGTGGCGCGATGGCTTTGGATGCCAGAGGGCCCCGGTTCGGATCCCACATATGAGGGCCAGTGACACTGCCCTCCACAGCTAAGATGGTGAACAACAGCTCAACCTGGAGCTGGCCTGCCATGAGTTGCCGGTGACTGTGATGGCGTAGGCTGCAGTGGAGCTGCAGTGGGCTCCCATAAGCTACCCTGAGTGGCCAGCAGCCAGCATGAGCTGCAAAGAGCCGCCATGAGCAGCCATCCAGTGGCTGGAGACTGATCTGTCTCACCCGGGAAGAGTGCAATGATAATACCAACATGGGCCAGTGAAGCGACGTCCTCCCCAACTAGACTGAAGAACAAAAGGACAGCAACTTGTCTGTTCCCCTTCCCCAATTCCCCAACACTGTTCTCCTCCCCCAATTCCCAATAAAATCTTTAAAAAAAAAAAAAAGCCAAATTCTCTTTTCCTGGTTTTTAATAGGTAAACTGGTTATAAGAATTTCATTGTTTCCCATAGCTAACATTACAAATCACTTGCAATGTTTAAATCACTGAAATAATAACGAATAAATTATTAATTTTCAGTCTGAGTATGCATAACTACACTAGTGTGAACAAATGGATTTTTGCAAAATACTGAATCAAGACAGTGGAGAGTGTTCTCCTCAGTCAGGAACAAATGCAGATCTTTGTTTTAAAATACAAAAATGTTTCATGTCCTTTCTGTGTCTACATTTAGTTATTAAATATTTAAGCTGTGTGTATATACTGTACTAATATTCTATTGGCTTCATGAAAAGCTTTATTTTTAAATTTCTCCTAGCTCAATGTAATTTTTAAAATAAACTTCATTTTTTAGAACAGTTTAGATTTACAGAAAAATTGAGAAGGTAGTACAGATATATCCCTTTTCCAGTCTCTTCTGTTATTAACATCTTAAATCAGTACGGCATATTGTTACAACTAATAAATGAATATTGATACATTAACTAAAGTCCATAGTTTATTCAGACTTCCTTAGGTGTTTTTTTTAAAAGATTTTAATTGGGGAATTGTGGGAAGGGGAACAGACAAGTTGCTGTCCTTTTGTTCTTCAGTCTAGTTGTGGAGGATGTTGCTTCACTGGCCCAAGTTGG